TGCAACGTTGCTGTCAATAGCCTACTTCTTGGAGTGTGTGTTGGGATCATGAGTGGTTGGTTATTATTATACTTGATAATTTGTGATAACTTGCATATTTGTGGCATATATTTTCATATGTATCAAATATCTCTTAAAATTCAAAGAAATTTGTGTAAAGAATAGAAATTCTACAAATTAAACTCATTTTAAAACTGATAGAAGTAAAATACAAATTTGTCTTCTATTTCAACCTAAGTTCAATAGCAAGTTAAAACGTTTTAATGTTTTATTTGGCAATAAAAAGAAATGTGTTTTCTTGGTTGGGCTGGATAGCTGTATTGCTGAAACAGCTGGTTTTTATGCTTAGAAAATTGTTACTGGAAGAAATATACATTCTGTGCTCTCAGAAATTTTTTTTACCTGTAAATATTTGGTAAGTTTGATTTTTAAGTGAGGCTAGCACTGTTGGCTGGCTATTTTAACAGAGCCAGAAATAAAGAAATCCAGGTAAAGGGTGAAGAATTTTGGCAGTAACTCTAATGGGCAACCCTGCAACATGTTTCTTAGTGGTAAGAGGAATCTTGGTAGAAAAAAGATGAATTAGAGCTATGCCCAAATATCAGGTAATGGAGATTTTGTATAGATACATGTTATTATTTCAGATTACAAGAAATATAAGAAATTATTAATGTTAATGAGATATGCTAAAAACTTTTTCATACTAAGTCTTTGAAATCTAGCATGTATTTTACACTTAAAGCACATATGAATTTGGTCTAGCCACATTTTAACTTCTTAATAGCCATGTGATTACCACATTGGATGCACAGCTATATCTACGGCAACCTCAGTTAAACTTGTTACAAGCAACCAACATGGAAACACTTATGCCAAAGTTAAAGATTGAATGAGATCAATTAGTTTATGATTTTGAGCTATTTATCTGTGTGTCTATCTCAGAGATCTATCAGATTGTGTAAATCATTGCTTTTGAAATGAGGTTTGTAGATTAATCTGTTAGCTAATAGAGAGGGATGGGTCCTACAGGCTGATGTTCCATCTGGATTGATTGGTAGGCAAAACAAGCAGCAACCCAAGGGAAATTGGCAAAGAAAAATAAGATAGAAATTCCAAGAGCAACACTGGACACAGCCAAGGCAGCAGGTTGGAGTCATATCAATTTCAGGAAGACAGGAATATTAAACACAAAAAGAATTTAGCAGCTGAAAAAAGAGCTTCTGGGCAAAGAGTGTAGGTAGAGTTTAACCACAACAGTGAGGATGATATCTAGAATGATTCCGTGTTGGCAAGCAAATAGTGCATCTCCTCATTCTGTGTCCCCAAAATGATTCGTATATGACATATTTCCCCTCAATTTTCCTGTTTTCATTAATATTTTATTTCCAAAAGAAGGTAATTTTAATTAGAGTTAAATAGAAAGTAAAATTAAACAATCTTTTTAACATGTTGATCGCTTACATTGCCTACTGAGATTAGAATGTTAAGTCTTATAACTAAATTTCTAATAGGTTTATTTTTCTGTTTAGAATGTTGTATAGATTATCTCTTGCTTGCCTCCGTTATTATTTGAAATGAGATCATAGAGAATGTTGTTAGCAGAGTCTATTCCCGTGCACTAATCAAGGTACATAAATCATGATAATGACCCAGGCTTAGTATTGCTCCTCCTTCTAGTTAATTAGAGATATAGTCATATAGTTATGACTAGATAAAAGAAGTAGAATGCACTAATTGAATGATGATTTTGAATATTAGAGACTCAGTACATAATACATAATCATGATTGGCTATTTGAGATAAATGTCTGTTTTTACTTGAATTTTTTCGGAGACAGGATTTGGGGCACTAAAAGTTAAAATAAATACTCTTAAAATCAACTCACATTCTTGTGATTAAAATAACCTGGGTCTCTAGTCTCACAGTATTCAAGGTAGATACATGAGCTAAATAATGGGCTTAGAATGACTGGTTTCTCTCTTTCTAACTTTCTCTGAAATAAAAGAAAGTACATGTGTTTTGATAGTGTCATGAAGGGTACAGTTAATTCTTCCTTAATAATTTGAATGAAAGATCAATTTAATAGGGTAAAGAAAGAATCATACCTTTCCTTTTGCCATTTTAACTTCAAACAAGGGTAATTGATGAAAATAAAACAGCTATCATCACTCTCATAGTAAAATCCTTTAAGTGACTTTCTTTAACTGATTTCAAATAAAATAAAAACAAAGAAATGGCTTGAGGATCAGAGTTATAAACTGCTCGGTGAAAGGTTTTTTAAAAGCTCAGCTACTGTCTCTCAGGATTTATTAAAAAAATGAAATTGGATATATGTAAAGTATTATACTGCATAATATAGAGCTTTATCTGCAGAACTGAATATACTGTCTTTCCTTCACTTTTACAAACCTCTTTTTCTATGGTTACAAAATTGATTTCTGATCATGATGTTAATTACTCTGATGAGGAAATAAAACATACTTTCTATGTTTCTTCTTTTTAACTAACCTTTTAAGATAATTATAGATTCACATGAAGTTGTAAGCAATAATATCCCATGTAGATGTGTGGTGTTACTTCTGAGGCCTCTGTTCTGTTCCATTGGTCTATATCTCTGTTTTGATACCAGTACCATGCTATTTTGGTTACTACAGCCTTGTAGTATAGTTTGAAGTCAGGTAGCATGATGCCTCTAGCTTTGCTTTATTTGCTTAGGATTGTCTTGGCTATGCGGGCTCTCTTTTGGTTCCATATCATGTTCAAGGTGTTTTTTTTTCCAGTTCTGTGAAGGTCAGTGATAACTTGATGGGGATAGCATTGAATCTATAAATTACTTAGGCCATTTTCATGATATTGATTCTTCCTAACCATGAGCATGGAATGTTTTTCCATCTGTTTGTGTCCTCTCTTATTTCCTTGAGCAGTGGTTTGTAGTTCTCCTTGAAGAGGCCCTTTACCTTCTTTGTTGGTTGTATTCCTAGGTATTTTATTCTCTTTGTGGCAATTGTGAATGATAGTTCGTTCTTGACTTGGCTGTCTTTAAGTCTGTTATTGGTGTATAGGAATGCTTGTGACTTTTGCACATTGATTTTGTACCCTGAGGCTTTGCTGAAGTTGCTTATCATCTTCGGCTCTCCAAGCCGAAGTCAAGATATTCCAAAGACTGTCTGTGGGCTTCACCCGGTGTAAGGTGCAGAAAATAGGTGACATGGGAGAGAAGCCGCAGGAGGATCCCTGCAGGCCAGTGTGGCCAGGGTCAGCTTTTAGAAACAAGGGATCCTAGGGTGATTCAGAGCCAGTCCCACTGGGCTGGAGGATCAACCAGTGAATCATCTTAAGGAGATATTGTGCTGAGATGATGGGGTTTTCTAAGTATACAAGCTTTGACAAACCTGACAAAAACAAGCAATGGGGAATGGATTTCCTGTTTAATACATGGCGTTGGGAGAACTGGCTAGCCATGCACAGAAAGCTGAAACTAGACCCCTTCCTTACACCTTATACAAAAATTAACTTCAGATGAATTAAAGATTTAAACATAAGACCTAACACCATAAAAAAACTAGAAGAAAACCTAGGCAATACCATTGAGAACATAGGCATGGGCAAGGACTTCATGACTAAAACACCAAGAGCAATGGCAACAAAAGCCAAAGTAGACAGATGGGATCTAATTAAACTTAAGAGTTTCTGCACAGAAAAAGAAACTATCATCAGAGTGAACCAGCAACCAACAGAATGGGAAAACATTTTTGCAATCTACCCATCTGACAAACGGCTAATATCCAGAATCTACAAAGAACTAAAACAAATCTACAAGAAAAAAACAAACAACCCCATCAAAAAGTGGGTGAAGGATATGAACAGATACTTTTCAAAAGAAGACATTTATAAGGCCAACAAACGCATGAAAAATGCTCATCATCACTGGTCATTAGAGAAATGCAAATCAAAACCACATTGAGATACCATCTCACAACAGTTAGAATGGCGATCATTAAAAAATCTGGAGACAACAGATGCTGGAGAGGATGTGGAGAAAGAAGAACACTTTTACACTGTTGGTGGGAGTGTAAATGAGGTCAACCATTGTGGAAGACAGTGTGGTGATTCCTCAAGGATCTAGAAATAAAAATACCATTTCACCCAGCAATTCCATTACTGGGTATAAACCCAAAGGATTATAAATCGTTCTATTATAAAGACACATGCACACGTATGTTCATTGTGGCACTGTTTACAATAACAAAGACCTGGAACCAACCCAAATGCCCATCAAGGATCGAGTGGATAAAGAAAATGTGGCACATATATACCATGGAATGCTATGCAGCCATAAAAAAGGATGCATTCATGTCCTTTGCAGGGACATGGATGAATCTGGAAACCATCATTCTCAGCAAACTGACACAAGAACAGAAAACCAAACACCGCATGTTCTCACTCATAGGAATTAGTATGCTCTTCATTGCTGAAGAGTCTCAGTCAGGTAAGAAAGAAAAGACCTAAGCCTCTGATGAGAGGTGATGATGAAATCTTGATCCTTCTACTGTTTGGAAAGAAAGATACCATAAGTATAAGCAACTCAAATGACTCTCCAAGCTGAAGTCAAGATATTCCAAAGACTGTCTGTGGGCTTCACCCGGTGTAAGGTGCAGAAAATAGGTGATACGGGAGAGAAGCCGCAGGAGGATCCCTGCAGGCCGGTGTGGCCAGGGCCAGCTTTCACAAACAAGGGATCCTAGGGTGATTCAGAGCCAGTCCCACTGGGCTGGAGGATCAACCAGTAAAAGAAGTGTTTCCCTTCACACAGAAACAACCTCAGGTGAACTCAAAGCCATCTACCTTCAAAGAGGATCTGTGCCATGAGGCAAGAACAGATGATATTTTCTTTACTAACAGTATAACATGCACTCATTTGACATATTAACTGAATATAAACTACATGCCAGGAACCCTGTGAAACAATTTTATTTCACATTTGTCTTAAAAACCACAAGGACACTATTTCCTTCAGAAAAAACTTGTCGTGCACAGATGTCTTTTTCACCTCTACCACCATGCCCAAGGCCCTGGTGAACATCCAGACCCAGAGCAGGTCCGTTTCCTATGCAGAGTACTTGGTCCAGCTCTACTTCTTCTTGACTTTTGGGGACATGGACATCTTTCTCCTGGCTACAATAGCCTATGACTGCTATGTGGCCATTTGCCACCCACTCCACTATCTGACAATCATGAGCCTCCACCGCTGTGCCCTACTGGTAACTGCTTGCTGGACCCTCATGAGTCTTGTTGCCATGACTCACACCTTCCTCATATTCCAGCTTTTCTTCTGCTCTGAGAAGATAATTCCTGACTTCTTCTGTGATTTGGGACCACTGATGAAGGTGTCCTGCTCTGATACCCAGATCAATGTGCTTGTGCTCCTCTTCCTAGGGGTAACAGTCATTTTAATCCCTTTTTTGCTCATCCTGGTCTCTTACATCTGCATTGTTTTAGCCATCCTCAGGGTCCCCTCTGCCCAGGGAAGGTGCAAGACCTTCTCTACTTGTGGCTCTCACCTCACTGTTGTTGCTCTGTTTCTTGGGATGGTAATCAGGGCTTATCTGTGCCCTTCATCCTCTTCCTTCAACTCAGTGGAGGACGATACAGTGGCTGCTGTCATGTACATTGTGGTGACTCCCCTGCGGAACCCCTTTATTTACAGCCTGCAGAACAAGGACTTGAAGGTTGCAGTGCTTAGACTTCTCAAAGGCAGAATCTGCTTCTCACGGGGCCAGTGACTCTAGTGACTTCTGCCGAGAAACTGAAGGTGTCTCTATCCCCTCCAGTGAGGGGCTTGGCAGAAATTTCTACCTCAAATGTCTCATTTCTGAATCCCACGTATCCTGTACCACCGCTTCCGTCCATGAATGCCCACTACAAGTTTGGTGTTTATGAAGGAATATCAGGATTTTGCTTTGTGCTTAATGTGTTAAGAGTTCCTTATTTGCTCATTTATTTTGCTTATTAATAATTTTTCATGAGGAGGAATGACTTTTGCAACACTTAATTCTAAAAGACCGTATAGCCTTTTATGCTAGTCTATCAAAACTTAATGAGGTCATAGCAATCAAGTCAGTATCAGATGGCAAAGACTTTATAACTGTAAGTGAACAAGCATGTTTTCCTACAAAAATAGGAAATTCCACAAATATTGTCTCAAACTTACAAATCAAAGATATTTGCCACTATTAAAACTCTCAACAATAGAGGAGTGATCTGTGTTCTCTTAGTAAAAATATTTACAGAAACTCTTAAGTTTAATTAGCTCCTGTTTGTCTATGTTGGCTTTTGTTGCCATTCTCTTGGTGTTTTAGTCACAAAGTCCTTGCCTATGCCTATGTCCTGAATGGTATTGCCTAGATTTTCTTGTAAGTTTTTTTTTTTTTTTTTTATGGTGTTAGGTCTTATGTTTAAATCTTTAATCCATCTGGAGTTAATTTTTGTATAATGTGCAAGGAAAGGTCTAGTTTCAGCTTTCTGCACATGGCTAACCACTTTTCCCAACATTATTTATTAAACAGGAAATCCTTTCCCCATTGCTTGTTTTTGTCAAGTTTGTCAAAGATCGGATGGTTGTAGATGCATTTATATATGTGTGTGTATGTTCATGTGTGTTATATATAATTCTAAAGTAAATTTACCATTCTCTAATAAAGATTATGAATTATTGAGGAGAAAAAAGAAAAAAAGTTTTACAAACAATTTGTAATATGAAGATAAATAGATATATGTTATAGTTTGTGGGGGAAAAAAAGAAATAATACTCCATGTACACTTTACTCAGTATTGCCAGTGGTTACCATATTGCAAAACCATAGTGCAGTATCACGATTAGGAAAATGTCATTGATGCAGTCTACCCAATTTTATTTAGAATTTCCCAATTTTACATATATTTGTCTGGGTGTTTAGTTTTTATCACATGTGTGGTTTGGTGTATTCACACGTGTAGGTCAAGACACAGAACAGTTGCATTACCAAGAGTCCCTCATGTTACCCTTTTATAAGTACATCCACCTGATTCCACCCTACACTCCCATTTTGAACTCCTGGCAATTCCTAATACCTCATTCATCTCTGTGATTTTGTTATATCAAGAACAGGGTTGAATAGACAGAATCATGTAACATGTAACCTTGAAATTGGCACATTTCCCTTGAGAATTTGTCCACGTGGTTCTGCAAATTAGTAATTCATTCCCTTTTATTACTGGGTAGTATTCCATGGTATGAATATACCATAGTTTTCTTAAAACCATTCACCTGTTGAAAAACATCTGGTTTGTTTCCCGTCTTCTGGTATTGATATTAAAGCTGCTATAAACACTTATCTCTGTGTGTGTGTGTGTGTGTGTGTGTGTGTGGCCTTTGTCTCTCTTTTGGAATACAAATGTAAATTTCTTTTCTTTTTTCTTTTTTTTTTTTTTTGAGATGGAGTTTCACTTGTTACCCAGGCTAGAGTCAATGGCGTGATCTTGGCTCACCGCAACTGCCGCCTCCTGGGTTCGGGCAATTCTCCTGCCTCAGCCTCCTGAGTAGCTGGGATTACAGGCACATGCCACCATGCCCAGCTAATTTTTTGTATTTTTAGTAGAGACAGGGTTTCACCATGTTGACCAGGATGGTCTCGATCTCTTGACCTTGTGATCCACCCACCTCGGCCTCCCAGAGTGCTGGGATTACAGGCGTGAGCCACCGCGCCTGGCCTACAAATGTAAATTTCTAAGGACTTTTGCTGTGCTAATTTTATTTTCTTTAAAATTGTAAATTAGAAAAGGTAGGCAGATATCAGTAGTTTCATTAAAGGTGTTTAATAAAAATGTGCTTTATAATCTCACAATTAAAAGTAGTTTTTAGATCAAATTTTCCTTGAAAGAAAAAAGAGATGATTTTAGGGAAAACCCTCTGCAGTTGGAGAATTTAAAATTTCATTTTAAATGGATTCAAGGAGAACCCATGCCTTCTTTAACATTAAATTTCCAATGATTTCCGCTAGTATAAGATGGGTACACTCCCTGAGCGGTCTGCACCCAGGTGAAGACAGGACCATTTCTCTCGGCACCTTCTCCTGATAAAGCTTATCATTTCTCTTTTCTTGGGGGAAAGAGAATGAGGAATTGACACGGGATTGAGAGTTAAACTAATTGGAATCCCTCCATTTTCCATGTGTGAGTACACATTAAGAGTTAGAAATGATCGTTCCTACCCTTCAATGATATCATAAAACCAAACGTTATAATGCAAAATGAGTACTATGTTGGATCCTTTAGAATCAGTTAATGGTGTTTTTTAATACTGAGAAGCTCACGAAGAGGAGTGTGTTCCTATTTGTTCAGCTGAGGAACAAGACCTTGCTGAGGTGAAAGCTTTAATACCATTTATCAGAGACTTCAGTAAAAGTGACATATTCAGAACTTGCAGCAAAGAGAGTTCAATGTTTTCAGGGCATTCTTTGTGTTGTTAATAGGGTTGGGGATTCTGAAAACTACTTGAATAAGATAAAAGGATATCACTATCCTCGAAAAAATTCAGAGATGTGGTATATCTCCAAAGGAAAGTAAAGTTTAAAACCATAATTTCCCCACAATACCCACTTGCTTTCTAGTATTGCTCTATTCCTACAAACGAGTCAAATGTTTGAATACTTCACTAAAGTATAAAGCAGAGCTCATGATAGTAAATCAGGCAGACAATCATAAGCTTAACTCTGTGTCATTCTTTCTTCCATTTTAAAGATAAAGCAATTCTTAGCCTCTGATTCTGTCTGCATATTTAGGGTAGAGGCTGTACATTATTGCCCTTCAGAAGTGGGGACTGTTGGGTTTTTGTGTTAAGGTCATTTAAGTCACAAAAAAAAAACAGCAATTTTTCTCTCCCTCTGCAAATTAAACACACTCCCCGTCGTGTTGTAATGGATTTCAGTCCTTTGTAATTAAAGATCCAACTGTTCACCTCTTGAAACCAAGCACTTTTTATCACATTGTTGCTTCATTTATCTCTGAGGAAAGACATGGATCTACCCATTTGCTATTGGAGTGACGCAGTGTGCTCTGTATCGCTGGCAGTAACGCAGTAATAAAAGTGAACAGCAGACATTTTGGAAGAGAACCATTACCTTGATTCTCTAATGAGTTTTGTTTTTCAAGACATTTTCTGTAAAAGAGATTTATAACGGAAGAAACCTCAAATTAAGATGGCTGGTTCTTCAGAGTGTTATTTTTACCGAGAGTGATTAAAATATTTCCTCTCTAATTCTTTAGCTGGACTTTAAGCTAGCCCTTTTCCAGTATTGCCTTTTGCCTTCCATAGCAGAAATTTCCTTTCTTGCTTATTTTCTTCTCTTTCACTTCTAACTCACTCCATGGTCCCACTGGACCCCATGACAAATTCTGCTTTGACTATGCTCAATTCTGAGTTTCCCAGAAAGCAGGGCCTGAGGCAGAGGGAATAGATGCTATTATCAAAGAATGAATGAGTGAGCAAGAAGGGGGAGACGTGGGAAAGGAGGAAGACTTCAGGTGAAGGTGTACTTGACACTGTTATTTGTTGAGTGTGACTGGTTGCTAGATTCATGGAAGCAAACAACTAAGAAGCTGAAGAAAGTGCCTTGCAGCTAACTTGAGTAAAGGGAGGAAATTCATTCAGTGGATCCTATCTCTGATTGTTCTAAGGTCATCCATCCCATGGAGCTTTGCACTTCTAGTGATGCACGTATGGACATAGGCATCCCATTGATTCTCCTGGGGAAATCAGCAAGAAAGCCCTGTGCAGAAGTAGGGGTGCTGTCAGAGAATGTCTGTTAAGAAGCCAGCCAGAGTTCTTGCAAAGCTGGTTGTCACCTCAGCAGCTGGAACAGAAGGCATTTGAAGACTAGAGGATATCAAAAGCTGCCCAAGATGTGTCCAACACACATTGCAATTGCTTCCTGTAAATTGTCAGTCTGTGCAGAAGCACAAGTGAGACTTGTCTCTGCAATTGAGGACTTAAAATAGTCTTGGAAACATGGTCTTGGGACTATGTACTTATGTTGTAAGAGATTGCTAATTCAATCCTGGTTGAGCAAGTAGAAAACAGAGATCAGAGATGTTTCATTCTGCATTCCCAATATGAAACATAAAGTTTGCCACAAAACCAATGCTCAATACAACTTTTAATAATAATGACTGTTTATGCATAAATTGCGTTTTAGGACAACTAGAACTTACAAATGTAGTCATTTTAAAAAACTGTGATATAGTTTATGACACTAGATGCTATGGCATGATAATCGAAGTAGCAGGTTTAGTCTTTGACATGTTGGGGTCATTTAAGAAGTCTATTCCTAACTGTCATTTCAACTCAGAAATTGCTGGAGTTTTTGTGTCCATTTTCATCTGACTAGTCTGGCCTATTCAAGCCCAAGTCTCAGACGTGGAGTGATGTTATCTAATACTGCTTGATAGTTAGCTCAGAGAATGGCCACTTGTGCTTTTTTTGTATTGAGCTGCCTTAGGGACTCTTACCTAAAGTGGTTCACTAAGAACTCTAAGCTACTACAGACAAACAGAACGTTAAAAAATAATCAGTTACGAGCAGTATTACATTGGGCCGAGTTCATTTGGCTTTCTTTATGACAGTTTTTCCTGCTATCTGTTGTTTTTTGTTTGAAAGGGAAGTGAATTATGCATGCACTGAGTTTTAGGAGATATTTAGCTGTTAGATATTTAACACATAATCAAATCCATATTGCTATAGAAATCT